TTATACTCATTCCCATTATTCCATACATATCTTCCTTGTCCTTCCCACAAATTCTTCTTCCAATGTCTCCCCATTACTGTAATGCTTTACTCCATACCCCTGCTTCCAATCCACCAATCACAACCCTCATACATATCTCCGTCAAATCCAGTGAAAGTGCCCAAACCCTCCATCCGACTTGACTTGAAATCACCTTCAAAAGTCGCATCCAATGGCCACGAAAAATTACCCTTACCAAAGGCTTTCCCCATTCGTCAATCACCTTCATACATACACCCATCTTGTTGGAAAAATTCCAACACATGGATCTATGTGTGTGCGCGTGCTACTTTAAAGTTTATTAAATAAAGTGATCCATTAAAATTAATTTGGACTAATGGGTAATAAATGTCATGGAAATAAAGTGTAGAGATTAGAAGGATTATTTTAAATTGATCTAAAAAATAATAACTGCTTAATTTAGTTAAAAAAGGTTGAACCTCAACCTTGAGGGTTTCCATCGTCCGCCCCTGGAGTATCGTGAGAGATGTAAATTGTGAGATGTGCCCCAACAGGACAGGGAATAAGAGTTTGTTCGTACACTGGTATCCACAAAAAGTCAAATTTCATATTTTAGAAATCGAACCCTCACACTGCAGCTGTCAATAAGGCTGAGACTACCTCACTCTTGTCCTTTACACTGGTTATTCCTTGGAGGGCCTGCTTAATTCAATTATTTATCATGGATTATGGTTCCCAAATGAACAATGTTTTTCATCTCTCTGAATCCCGTCAACAGAGAAAAATTTCTAAGGAACTATGTGTCAATTGGAAGATCATGACCTGCTCAAGCAAACAAATTTATGGATCAAGGTATTCTTTCACTTCTAATCTTCTCTTTGGTTTCAACATGGGAGATTTACATGCATATGAAATGGTTTGGTAAAAGGTTTACTTATTAATCCTTTCAATTCCTACACATATTTCCACAGATACTTACCGGATCCATGAGGCGTATTGTTTGCAAAAGTCCCAATATACATTTCCCCTTTAGGAAGGTGCTTCTCGATCATATCAGCTACATTTCCTGAGGGTGAAACAGGCGTAGGGGTGACTCTACGGCATATAGCTTGAGATTTGCTTCTGGGTATAATTATAACTGATTTTGGCGTAGTGGTGGTAATAGTATTGGGTGCCATCTCTAATTTCTCTTCATTTTCTTCTTGCTCTAATTTTTTCTTATCATTCTCTTCAAACGATGCTCATCTAATGAACAACAAAGGCTCGGGCATAAGTTCTTGAAAAAAAGAAAAAAAAAGATAGAAAAAATCTATCTTTATCTGGGTATTAATTAATTTTTTCTAGGATTGTTAACTATAGCCTGAAATGTTGATAAACAGCCAAAAAATGCAGGTTCTGTAGCATTTTCTGGCCAATTTTTTGGTGGGAATCCTAACAAACAGAAGAGTAGAGGGCGGGTTTCTAGAGAGAAACAAGAAACCGAAGAAGCAAGAGAAAAGGTAGAAGGATGATAATATGTGAATGAACGAATGAATCAGTGCGTGATTACGTGTGAGAGAGAAAGCCGTGAAATTGGGAGTATTGAGCCAGCTTAGCATTTTCATTTTTTAAGGTTAACCCAATATTTCTGTAAGTCACCTATACAAACTATATACGTATAATGAACAGTGTAACTGTAAGTTTATATTCTGATACTTCATCTTTTCGAAATTATAAAGACGAATATGCCCTAGGGATTTGATAAAATTTACGTAGAAACAGTAACCTACGAATTAGTTTCTTCGGTTACATCGTAACGTAGTGGAATTGCCTAGGAAGGAAGAAGTAAAAATGCCATATGGATAATTGCACAATTGGTCCTCAACTTATTATCACTATATTATATTAATCCATGGGCTTTAAAGAGAAGCAGATTAATCCCAAGCTTTCATAATAATTGCGCTATTATTCCCCAAACGGGCCAAACACAAAAACTATCAACAATTTTGTTAACTTGTCACGTGCCCAAGAAAAAAATGGATGAGTTCGAACTAAGTTGTAAAGCAAAATATAGCTTTATAGAATTATATACATATAGGTCTTGTGTGACGGTTTAGCACTCGTTTGGATAGGTTCTTAAATGGAGATTGTGCATTAAAATTTTTTGTTGTGATCCTCGTGAAAATGTAGATTTGCTTCAAATTTATGGGCATTGTCGATTGTAAAACAAAATGTAGCTTTATGAAATTAGAAAAGTGAGAACAAAATTTGGACAATTGTGTAATTATAATGAAAGGTTGAAGACCAGATTTTAACTTTGAAAAGATTGAGAACCACTTGTCTAATAGAGTAGTAACAAGTTGGAGAACATTGGTAATTATTCCAAGGGCATAGATGGTCTTTTATGAGTTACAAAAGTACCCTTTTCATTAAGTTCAATTACAAAATTGCCATTCATGGTGATTTTGTTTCTATAGGGTGGTCCATGTCTAGTCTAGGTGAACCATTCAATCTTCGATATCTTATTCATCTTTGGTATCTACGGCTTTAAATTTTGGATGGATTGATAATCCTATTTATGGTAATGATTAATAATTTCCATAATCTAATTTTATTAATTAAAGAATCTATATTAATATGTTTGGCTAAAGCATTAGGATTTTGCTACTTATTTATAAAAATGGTACATAAGCAGTGAAAATGATGTGAAGGGAAAAATTGGATGAAAAAGTTGATAGTATTTTAAATTGACAAATGGTAAAGTATCATGTGGATATTATATAAACCATTGTATAAATTTTGATGTACATGTAGCAAGATCCAAAACATTAATAGATTTAACGAAGGCGTCGATTGGATTTGCGTAATAGAATTCATGTATAATGATTGGATATAGATTCCATATTGAGTGAGCCATAAGATTAAGATAACAAAAACGAAATTGGATATGTACGATACTAAGTGACACAACTTTTGTAAAGTCGTACCCCTAACTTACAAAGCAATTCTAACTAACATTAATTCAACTATCTTGCATTTGGGTCCCACAATGACACGAGTGAAAGATGAGAGTCGTATGACTTAGAAAATTTGCCAAACCAAGTTATGCCAGCATTGGTCTAGGCTTTGATATCGATCCACCAAATGCAACCAAGATAACAATAAAAAGAAAAAATCTTTCCATATAAGCATTGGAAATGGTGGTGCATAATGAATTGTAAAGGTGTTACAAAACCTAGGTTTAGCATCCTGTAGGCCCACAATGTTTAATAATGAACTATGAATTGATTTGATCCTTTTTGAGGAAATCGAGTCCAAAACTTCTCCATAGGATCAAAATCACTCTGCTTGAGATCGCGTACTATAGAAGCATGCTTTCCAGTAGAATACCTAACAACATAATCACAAATACAATAAATACTCATTTTAGCAACGCCCAATGCCTAAAATTTGCTATCGATGAACAGCTAAACACATTCGATCTTAATCAACTTTAGATTTATATTTACCTAATTCCCAGTTAGAGTTTGAGAATCAGATCATAATTCTTTTGCCCTTTGGATATAGTCTCTACTGGCTTCTTCACCTCCCTAGTAAAACAACAGGGGTTCCTTCGAAATTGCCTAATCTCGTCCCGGTCCAACCCCAATCCATCCCTATATAGCATTGAGGCCTCAATATTGTCAATAATATCATAAGTGATATCCCCTGCCTCACCGTTCGACTCCCAAATGCATATTCTTGGAAAACACCTCTCCGTCATCCCACCATCCACGGACAATCTCTTCTTCCCTGCACTACCACCTATCGCTACGTTTACACTCTCTTCCCCCACCATCATTAGCACCAATAATGACAACTTCTAACTAAAGTACCTGTAACGTGTTGTCATACTTGAGCAACACACTTGGGCCTATGGCCCACTCAATCCGAGCCACGTGACACTCCAGCTGAGGTGGCATGTATGGCCGAGGCTCTTCATGCCAAGGCCCATATACCGAGGCCTTAAAAGCAGCCGAACTCCATATGCCAAGGCCTGTGAAGATTTCCGAAGCCCTGAAGTGGAAGTACTACATGAGCGACAGAAGCCCCCGAACCATGAAGGAAAGTTTTCCATGATCACCTCTCCTAAGAGATCTTCCACATAAAGATCTTGTTTGAATGATTGATGGAACGTTTATCATGAGTGCATATGTCAAGTCTTATCACTAGCATGGGGGTTCTGCACAAGCAATAAATGCACAGCAAGCTAGTAAGTCAAGGATGATGCCTAGGATTGAATGTTTGAATTAAGGAGATGAGGCCACGTGCCAACTCATCTAAGGGCTGCCATTTCACATGTAACACTATAAATAATTTCCTTATATAACATTGAAGGGCTAATGCAAAAATCAATACAAGAACTACATTTTACTCTCTCTTTCATATTATCTTACAAGACAATACGAGTTCATACATATCTATAGCATACTCATGAGCACCGATTGGTAATTATTGAACGATCGGATTAAGCACACCGCCGGATTCCGAACGTTCTCATCTCGCGTCGTTGAGCTACTCACATGCCCCTGATTTGTTCGTTCTAGACCGTCCATGTGTCTTAGCGTGTAGGACCTTCGCTCACGTGTGCACGGGTGGGTTCGGCATCTGTTGGCAACACTTTTTTGGGGTCAACAGTACCCCTTCAAAGCCCCCTCGTTTTCATTTCCATTTCCATTCATTCCATTAGACTTATTGCTAGTGTGGGCAGGGTAAAAAGTACCATTCAAGATTTGATTACTATGAGAGTTTTTGCAAGAATCCTTTGACCAGCAGCCAATGTAGTAGCTACCATCAGGCCAAGTGAATACACCATCATCCTTGGGAATCCCATTCTCCCAATTTCCGCCATAACTATTTCCATTGTTCCAAACCAAAACACCCCTGCCATTAATCATCCCATTCTTCCATTCCCCTTTATACCCATTCCCATTCCCATTCTTCCATACATATCTTCCTTGTCCTTCCTGCAAATTCTTCTTCTAGTGTCCTTCATAGTAATCCCCATTATTGTAATGCTTCACTCCATACCCGTGCTTCCAATCCACCGACCATGACCCTCTGTACATATCTCCGTCAGATCCAACGAAAGTGCCCGAACCCTCTATCCGACCTGCCTTTAAATCGCCTTCAAAAGTCACACTCGATGGCCACGAAAATTTACCCTTTCCAGAGGCTTTCCCCCTTAGCCAATCACCTTCATACATACGCCCATCTTTCCACAAGTACTTACCGGATCCATGAGGCGTATTGTTAGCAAAAGTCCCAATATACAGATCTCCATTAGGAAGGTGCTTCTCAATCAATTCAGCTGCATTTCCTGAGGGCGAAACAGACGTACGGGCATGGACGGAGCTAGAAAATGATGTTAGGATGGGTTGACATTTAAAAATTGTTGAATGAACTTATGCCACAAGAAATCGAGTTTCAGAAGCTATTTTCGTGACATTTACAATAAAAGTATACGATCCTGAATGAAATAAAAAAAGTTCAGACATCTCATATTAAGATATTTCACTAAATTTTTGTATTTTTTTTTTTACCAAATAGAAAATCGATGCTTACCTTAAAAAATTTTAAACTAACCGAATCATGATAGAATTAGGCAAAAACATATATCCACCAATGACCATTTAAAAAATTATTTAATGAGTACTCTTCTAATAACTTTGATAACCAGTCTTTCAAGACAACTGGAAGTTTTAACAAATATTGTTTTTATTATCAATATCAAATCTATAGTAAGTTATTTATTTTGATCATAATATCTACTTTGTGGTCAAAATAAGTATTTTTTTTATATAACTATGAATTAGTAATAAATGAAAACATACATAATTTAGAAAAATATGTCACGTCTCTAACTATTAAAATAAGTAATTTACTTTTAGATCTAATTTAAACATGCATTAAATAGAATATCTAATTTGACAATAAAATATTCACATTTCATGAATGTCTTGAAAAGAGTAATTAATAATTGTAATGTCTTTAATATAATTTGAATAATTGAGTATCGGACTTAGGTTGGGATTTAAATTAGAGTTGGGCTAATGTTAATACCTGGGCCAAAATTCTAAAATTGTCTTAGAAATTTATATGGGTTAGGGGACATTGCTAGGCTATAGCCCAACATGCCCCTCCCCCTCCCACTACCTCCGCCAATGCGTAGGGGTGACTCTACGACATATAGCTTGAGATTCAAAATACAACCCTTTCTTTTTAAATTGATAAAAGAACTTCACTATTTCTTGTCGACGCTTAACAATTTAATAGCAAGTTAGTACAAGTAGCACTTACTCGTCAAATCATACAGCTCAGATCTTGAGTTGTTATTGTCATAATCATATTCTGTACTGCTTGATCCCCTTGAGGAAGCATAAGCAAGTTGCCGATAATGTTCTATCTTCAGTACGGCTTGTACAATTCTTTCCCAGTTATTATAGTTTCTAGACATCTAGTTATATCAATGTCAATATAAACAAAAATTTTACAACAAAACGCAAAATTTCCAATAATCGAAGCAGAATATCGCTAGAATTTTAAACATTAACACTTAGAAATTGGAAATGGTTAATGGTGTGAACTTTACAAACACGATTTGCTTCTAGGCGTTGTGAGGAAAGGTTTAAGGTCTTCTCCAGTCCGACGGCAGTTACAAGGATGGCGACGGCACCCGACCCTAACCCAAGGCCAACTAGGCAATGGTCTTGGGTCTCAACATTCTAGGGGCCTCCAAGAAAAAGGAAAGGGAAATTTTCCAATGTACCCTTCAAAAAGGAAAAAATTCTAAAATTACGAAGATTTTATTCACAGAATACTTGAATTTTGCAATATTTTAAAAACCGACCCAGCCATCGATCCGGAAAAGGGGAAGGTTCAAGAGTCAAAAGGTCGAACCGGGATCCACCCATTTTTTTATTAATAATTTTACAAAAAAAAAAAAGAGCAAATGAAAACAAGTTTTTCGAAATCACAAAAACTATAACAAGATAAAAATAATTAAATACAATCAACGAAATAACGTCCTGCTCAATCCAATTATGTAATGGAAGATAAGTTCATAAAATTATGTAATTAACAATGTCAACTCAAAAACTTAAATAGGAGAAGTTTGAAAGTCTGAAAATTCATTAATTTTGAACCTCGAAAACGCAGCATGGATGAATGAAATGTTTGGGTCAAAGGTTTTCTAAAACCCGGGCAGGTCACCAGTTTTAAAGGCGGGTTTTAAATCTAAAGTCTCAAGGCCTAACCGACTCGATTTTGGTCCCGATTTTCGATTATTTGGTTGAACCGGCCGGGCCGAGTCGATTTTTACAATACAGGAATTTTGGGTTAAATTTTCATAACAATTGGAATCCATCTATAGCGTTAATTAAGGAACCTAACACTGACTCCGAATAAATGGAAAATCTTTCAAAAGAATTCCATAATAATTGGTCAAATTGAATATGACAATAAATTCGTATAATTAAGGCTAAAATTGGGGAGATCAGATTTCCATAACAATTGGAACCCATATATGTAGTTCTTGTACTTCTAAGTATTATTTCGTCATCTATTATTTATTTATAAATATTTAATTTAAGTATTGATTGGTATATAATATACATTTATATATCATCAAGTAATATATATTTATGGGATTTTGAATAGTTGCTCAAAAACTCTATCGGAAGTACAAGAGATCAAGACACTATGTCGAACCACGATTCAACAAGATGATAATCCAATTTTGATATTTTGCTATTTAGTTTTTAAATGTTAAAAAAAAGTGAAAAAATGTGTAGTGTAACATGGTTTCTTATTCTATTTTATTCCACAAGTTTATTTGTATGTTATACACCAGTATGTTATAGTTGCTTTCTCAAATGGCGAATTCAACAACTTATATCATATTCATACACAGTGATGCAAAGATTTATTGTTAATTAGTAAAAAAATGCAAAATATTACATCGTTTCGCAGCATGTATAATTCCATAAGATATATTGTCCATTAGGAATATGTTAGTGTTTTTTTTCTAAAAGATGTGAACACACACACACGTATATATAAGGGTCTCATAATTATTAGTCGCCTAGGGCTTCAAATTTCTCAGGGCTGGCCTTGTGACGACCCCACCACAGAGAATTTTCGGGAGGTGTATTCATTTTGCAAAATTCATAAATTATGTGTAGATTTGCCAAAGCATGCATGCAAGTAATAGGCCTTTTGGTATAGATAAAAATCAAAATTTTAATGGATTCAAATGATGAAATATGTAATTAAATAATTGTTAATCCACATAAAATATTTAATTAAAATTAATTGTTAACTTTGACTTTAAACTTAACAAACTTTTTTTAATTGAACAAACTAAAAACTGGACGAATATTATATAGAAGTGAAATAAAATGGGTAGATTTCTTTATTTTCCATTTAAAAGAATATTATTTATTCTATCCCATTATTCAGCCTAAACTCATCTCTACACTTTATATTATATGGTAACAATACTTATGACATTTTTTTAACTATAAAATACATTATTTAGCAACAGGTAAAATGAAATTCTCTCGACCACGAATACTTTTCCTTCTCTTTTTATTGCTCTCATCATCTCTATATGGGATATATGTGACAGTTGAATTATTGTCATTATCCTATAAATAAAAGTACATTCCAACTTAATGAAGTAACGTGAGAATAACCTCATTGTCACATGTCAAATACAGATACACACTAGATGAGTAGCGTTAGGGTAAGAGGCGTGGGAGGATGTATAAACAAGTTCAAGTAGGAAAGTACATACAATTTCAGTACACAACACTTTTGAACTTGCTTTGATGATGGGAAAAAAAAGAAGATATATCACCCTTTTCGTTTAATAAAGTAGTTGATTGACTATATACATTTAATATTTGATAATTGCTAAATCCAGAACCGTAGGAAAGAAGTTGAACAGCAACTCCATAACACCCTAGTAAACAAGAAAATAATTGCACGGTAACTGTTTGGGAAGGAAGATTTCTTCCACACGCAGCATATAAACAATTTAAAAAGAACCTTCCCCGAGATAGTCAAGAAAGTTTTGAACATCTCCTGTATGCACAATAGGAATCTGGAAACCGACAGATTGTCGTAGTCCAATAGGAAGATCAGTGTCAAACTTGGAAGGAAAGAATCAGGTTGAAGAGCATTCATCAACATGTGGAGTACATCAAGTGCTCTATCTAGGGAGAATAATGCTATCTATCATCAATAATGATCATCGTTAGTCTAGGGTGCAGCAGGCCCCTGATTCATTGTCCAATTTTCAAACTACCACCTAAACTGATGATGATCATTACTGATGATAGATAGCGTCACTTGTTGGGAAACATCTAGTCGTATTTTCTTGGGGTCACTTAGTTTTTCCTGTTTTTTCTCCTTCCCTCTTTTCGTTCTTGGTACCCATGGAAGGAAAAAGAACTGATTTGTGTAAATTACAGAGAGAATGAAAGAATCTTCCAGGTCTTATGCATTCCACGTTGGCTTTTTACTAAGAGAAGACAATGCAACTAGATAATGATAATTAAGTTATTTTATTACCTCAAAAGATTTTCTTATATCCGCTGGCCAAAATTGTAAGGAGAAGCAGAGCCCGTAGATGCTGGCAGCGGTTGCTTCACAAAGGGAAAGGGATGATCCAAGAGCAGAGACGCTGTTGGACGTGCACTTGCGTCAACTTGTGGACATTTAAGGATAAAATCACGAGCATCGCTGGAAAGAGAAACGGGAATCCTCGGTAGCTCACCCCTTCCTATCCTATATAGCGCTTGCATCTGTTGATCAGGGAGAATGCACTGTCATGCTCCAAAACAGCATTGTACAGTTACCAATTGAGCCCCTGTTTGACATCTAATGAATTTTTTGGGGACAATGAGTCTTGGAATTGAAATTTTTTTTTTCCAAAAGGCTTGAAATTGTGATTTTTCGAAGAATGTGTGGTTTAAAAAAATTTAGGATTTACATGCAAAATATTTTATTGTGTGAATATATAGTTGAAAATGAGTTTGAGGAAGAAAGAGTTTTGATTTAATATATGTCAAATATCAAATAGGGGCTGAGTAATATCCACCCAACAAAATTAAATATCATCTGTATCTCTGGGTCCCAAAAATTACATTCCCTCGGCTGATATCACAAGAAAAATCATACTAATGAGGAGATATCTTCATATTTATATCCACCCAACAAAATTGTTTAAGAAAAATCCTAAGAACATGTTTGGGAAGTGTTTACAAACGGTTTAAATTATAAACAGATAATATGAGTGGTGGATAAATGACTAGTATATGTGGGTCTTTGAAAAGCGCAGATAAAAGTGCCAGTTTATAAAAATGAAACAAATGTAGGCTAAATTTATTATATAATTATCGGCAAGCATTATGACCTGTAGCGATTCAAAAGTTATGGTTTTTTCTTTAATATGACAAAGAAGTATCTACAAGCCTCTGGGCTCTAGTTTTAAGGAAATCCAGAACAAAACTGCTTTACTTACAGGTTCCATATTGGAGCATGGAAAACATCGGGTTAGCATCTCCAAGACAGTGCTCCCAAGGCTCCATGTATCTGCCGCTAGCCCATATCCCAGGCTCTTAACCACCTACAGCAACATAGATTGATAATGAGCAAAACATAACAGGAAATGTTTGCAGATAGAATCTCATCTCCCTTGACCTTGGCACATTAAAAGGAAAAGGGAAATAATTGAATCCAAGAAATCAATTTACAAGTTAGTATCATGCACATATCTGCCTTTGGCACATATGTTACAAGTTAGTATCATGAACATATCAACTAGTCAGGCTACTTAAATGTTAAGAAAAGAGGGTCAAGGTAAACCTCAGGAGCCATCCAGAAAGCAGTCCCCTTGCAAGACTTCACATCATACAACTTTGTGGCCTGCACAATGAATCAACTAACAAACTTATTTGTCATAACAACAATCGCAGTAAAATATTGCCAAGCAAAGTAAGAGGGCATTTTTATTTTGAAAAGGAGAAAAAAGATGGGATAATTAGAGACTGCAACCTTCGCAAGGCCAAAATCTGCAAGTGTCACCGAGCCATTTGCATCCACCAATATATTTGCACACTTCATATCTCTGAAACAAGAGAGGTAAATAAGTGAGATCTTAGTGTTACAGAATCAGCTGGCATAAATGAAGCACGTCGAAACATTTGCACTTTTTTTCTTTTTAAGCATGAATGAGGAAAAGGGGAAAGAGAAGGAATGAGGAAGAGGAGAAAGAGAAGGATAGCTTGAAATTGCGTATATTACTGATAATCAAACGAACTTTCTTTCTTCGTCACCCACTCACCTAACTTCCTTTTTTTAGTTCTCTTGCCTGTTAAGTTTACAGTGCAGCCTAAAATAAAGTATTCCAGAATAGACAGACATTATTAATCAAAAACAGAGTCCTCACCCCAAATTTTAGTTTTCTAATAAAAAAATCTCTGACAAATGCTTTTGTAATATTAGCTTCCAATTTCCTGGAGACGGTTCAATTAACCATAAAATTCTAAGAAGCCTTGCTTGAAAAATATAAAACAAAATGACAACCTGTTTTAAGGAACACTTTCAAGTATATGATACTAGCCAATTTCAATATGAACTGCTTAAATGAAAGGACATAATTTGATCACTTGTCAAGAAAATTTAGAAGTGAAACATTTTAGAAAACCTTGTGGTATAATTTTTTTCACTACTATCAACTAGCAATTTGGAACAACAATCATGCTACATAGACATAATGGCTGACATAATACTTGACATAATGTCATGTGGTTACCTATCACTGGATTGTTTGAAATACAATCAATTTTTTCAACTAATCATATCTTGCCAACATTTATTATATCAACCATTATATCACATATTTTCT